GGGTCCCAAGGGCTAAAATGCGATTTTTTTTGTCATATTCCTTACATTTGAGTTGAGACCCACACAATGACACTAATTTTGATCAAAAAGTCAGCATACTAGGGATCGTCAAATTTTCTATACCCTTATGCCCATTGTCGTTTATAAACGACATACGTACAGTTTTTCTCGTCTCCTGACGAGCCTATGTGAGTGAGACCCTATTATCGTGCAAGTGGTCGGCTTCAGTAAGAATTAAGGTACCTCGGAATAATTTTTTCGAAGTGATCCGACCAATGGGTCTTACTTGGGTCACCTCCGAAAACGTTCAATTTCACGATTTGCCTTTTTTGCGTGTTTCTTGACTTTGAAGGCTTATAGTTTGGGCAATAGAGGTCTCAGAACGTCGAGAGGGCCTTAGATCAATTCCCCGAAACCACCTCTATAAAAAGCAACCCTCGAAACCTGAGAAATGTCTAATGCATCCCGGTGATATCTGCGATTTTCCTCTATGTATTTTATAAACGACAAGGGCCTTTAAGGGTTAACGTAAATGCACCGCTCGTGACTGTGTGCGAGTGCGTGAGTGTGCTCAGGCTTCCCTTACCCCCACCCCATCTCAAATTACATTTTTACGAGCGTAGGATAGTAAACTTACCGAAAACGGTATTGCAAGTTAAAGAAAAAAAGGTGTCCGAAATTGTAGCACTTACATAAATTGGCTCATAAAAAATTAACGGTTTGGCTCAGGAACTTTTTTTTAACGTAATTTTGTAGGCGAAGGACCAAAGGTTCATTGATAAAACGGTTGGCCTCCGGGCAGCTCTAGTGTACACGAGCCCCAGACTTCCGGACAGCGTACTTAAAAACGACGTGATTTCCGTTTCGCAAATTTTGCATTTAAAGCTCTGTGGCCGGTACGGGGATGAGGTCAGCGATACCAACGGGATGGATTCTTGATAAGTAGACTCTTCCTGTTCCAATGCCGTTTTTCGATTTTGATTATCTCAAAAACTGGCTGAGATAGGCTAATTTAAATGATTTTACGTATTTTGTCCGAAATTAGGGCCTCGGTCCGAAATTAGGGCTCATGACTGTACAACACGACGAAGGCGTGTTTTCGTGTTCAGATTTCGTACTGACACTGACTGAGTTTACCGGCGGGTCGGGCGGGAATCGTAAGGTGCATTTGTCCCGTGTTATACGAACCACTCGTTATTCCACATTTTGCATGTAGGGTTTCTTCTTCGCAAATTTTGACCCTTTTTTTGTTTCTAAAATTTCCTGAAAAAGACAACTACGTATTTTACTTGTTTGAAGAGCAAAATCCTCAAAACTGAATAGGGGTCTGCTGCATGAATGCTCAAATTAAGACCGGCCCTTGCCCACGACGAGAATTACTACCTTAATGTGTGACTTTGCCTGCCTGGAAAATCGTGTCATCGTTAAACTGGGCGCTTGGAGGCGAGGCAGGAGGGGGCTGGGGGCGGTGTCCCCCCTGTCCATCGAGGTGCTGGCGTGGGGTACACACACTGGCCAGTTTCGACTTGTGGACTTTCACTGGGACTGGAGCATTTGCAACCGTGTCAGCCTCTGTGGGTCCCGGGTCTCGGGCCCGGGGTAGGACCCGGGGGGTACCCCTGGAGCCCGCTGTTGGCCGGGCCGGGTCGAGCGCCGGGCCCGGGACGAGGTGTGCAGCCGTGCTACGCCCGCGTCTCTCCCCCATCCTCGCCGCCCTCCCCTCG